AAAGGACAGATAACGTTTCATGTGAATTTCCTTTAAGCATTTTAAGGCAAACATCCTTTTGCGATTCCTATCTTTGATAAACAGAATAATCCCATTCTTGGTGTTCTCTGTTGTGATTTTTCAGCATGGACTTGCAAAAGTAAGGTCACTCAAACACATCCAAAATGAGATAGACGTTTTGATGGACATCTTTTACGTATATTCTTCACTAGATGAACCCAGAAGAGTAAATGTGATTTCAAATATACCTAATAACGAGGACATACACTACAAGACAGACCAGGATGACAATAACAGCTCCGGCAGCCACCCCTCCCATAAACACACCAGCTGAAACAGAAAACAGCCACTGTGTATTGAGCAGAGATCAACTAGAGTACTCTTTACTGACATTTGATTAAAATAACATTTGACGCAGGCCAGAACATGAGTCTTTTCCATGAACTTGATGATCAGTGTTTTTACTTCACAAGGCCAGCACTATCATTATGTACAAAACAATCTTCAACTTTGTACATAGCTAAATCAAGTTGAGGTATGAAAATGCAAATGTGATATTTTCAGTTGAATGCATTAACTATCTTCAGGAAATTAACTTATTAACATTAGAATGCAGCCATTTGTCTAAAGTCTTAAACCACTGTGTATAGGTTTCCATACAGTGAATAATGCATACTTCGGAATCGTGCAGAGGTCGATATGGGAAGCCCATCCTTATTTGGCCAAGTTTTGATGTCCCCTGTGGAAAAACATTTATTTCTATTCAAACAGTAACCAATTTACAAATATGTAAAATGTGTCATAAAATGTAAATAGTAAATTGCAAAATATATTTATTTAAAACACGCCGTCTCACATCATACTTTTAATAATAAGTACCATGAATGTCATGTGATATCTACAAGAAAGTATGTGAGATTTCACGACAGGCAAGATACACTGTACTATCTGTCCGAGGATTTGCAACGAGACTGCTTTGCAAGAGAATGCGTACCTCTCTTTTCTGTTGAACAGTTATGTTAGAAATCATGAGGTAAATACTACATACTTGGTGTTTTTGAAGGGGTGGATCCAGGAGACCTGTCATTAGTTGATTCAGTGGTGATTCCTCCTGTGAAAAAGCGGACACATCTAAATGCCCTTTCTTGTTCAGCAATATGAGTATAAACAAACGATAGAAAGCACAACAATATATAAGCTTTTATATGGAATAAACATTAGGCACTACATTATGCACCTATTCGATGAGCTATTTATACACTAACAATCACATTTTGTGCCACCACAAGAGCAAGATCTTCATTAAAGCTGACCGTTGTAGGTGACAATGTAAATGTAGTCTTTGGGCACAAAATGTACTCCCGAGCAAGTTACTGAACAAACAAAGAACTGGGGATTATCATGATAAAACATATTTTTGGGGTGTGCCCGATTTTTTGGGCCCAAATCCCGAAAAAATCAAAGATGGCTTTAAAAAAATCAAGGATTCCCAAATCTAACACTACGTGAATTTTCCCAGCTGGATCAAAGCAGAAAACCTTGCACAGTGTTAGGGAACTTCATGATAAAACATATTGGGGGGCTCCGACTTTGTGGCCCTTTTTGACCAAAAATCCAAGACGGCCGCCAAAAATCACCCAGAATGGTCGCCGACTATAAAACATCTTTATTTGGTGCAATATGTGAGATATATTCGCCGTTCAAAGGGCAATTTCTAATACTTTCAAGAAATCTACCAAACAAGATTTATGTTTTGGTAGTAAAAGATATTATTCATCATCCAATTAATGAAAAGTTGCTGTTTTGATCAGTCATGTGACATCATTTTGTCAAACATCGATCTCTGTGATTCTGAAGTCTCCTTTCACAGTTCCCATTTCAGTTACAGAGCGATGTGCATAGCAGTTGAGAAGAATTACAAATGCACTTCTTTGAGCATAGAAGTTGAGACTTGCAGAAACATTTGATAAAGTTGTTGATAATGGTACCAGCAGAAAACCTATTGGTGTTTATTACTTGTATCATTGCCCGTTTGATCTTTAGAATATTTCAAACCTGTTTTTAAAAACGGGATTAGTTACTTAAGTTTATCAATACACGAATTTGACTTTGTCTTGAACAACTCAAGAAATATATAAAATGGTGAACAACTTATGTGTTCGCTATCAATATGGCTGGAGGGGCGGTGGGGTAGCCTAGTGATTAAGGCGTTCCCTCGTCACGATGAAGACCCGGGTTCGATTCCCCACATACGTACAATGTGTGACGCCCAATGATCGAAATGGCTGACAGAGTCAAGCAGAAACAACTCGAATTCGGGGCTGCTCTTCCAAGTCGCAAACGAGTCTACAGAGAACTAGACAACATGATCATGAGGCTCGAAGACAGGCTAAGTCGCGGAGAGAAGACTCCACTTCAGTACCTTGATATGTTGGCCAACCTCATAAAACTTTCATAAATGGACATCAACTATATGATGCCAATTGAAAGCTACTGTTCTACCCACTGATACTGTGCTACTACTTATTGTTACTGCTTTAATTAAAGATAAATTAGATGTACAAATACATGTATAGGTAAAATATTTCGATTGAAAAGATGTATCTACTAGAAGTTATTGCACCTCCATTATACCGTGTTATTTGAAAAATAATATGTTATTCTTGTCATGAAATAAATATTTACTTGGCATTAGATATTTTACTTGTGGTTTTCTATTTGGGTTATTCCATTATAATGTGTTAGTAACAGGTAGTAGCTAATCTGTTCATTGAACCGTAAATGTTGTTGCTTTAAGGCGTCTGCGAAGTACCTGTCTGCGTTATGGGAGGATACCATTTAGAAGTTGTAAAGATGAAGGAAAACCACTTTTTATGGATAGTCAACTTCTTAATAGCAATAAATGCGACGTATCGGTGAAGATGCTAACACCGCTATCAAGCAAGATTCTTTCTACACCGGAGTGAGTGAGTGAGTTAATATTTAGCGTCACATCGGCAATATAGCAGCTATATCGTGACAAGATCAATTTTATTCATGTCAATATTAAAATCAATAAGTTTAGAATGTAAAAACCTGTCATCGAAGGACAGTAAAAATACAAAGCATCACAGATATGAATATAAAACTAGCATATAAAACTAAAACATTTTAAATATAGAAGACAATACAATATAAAACACAGGCTATAGATCGCCAACAATTGAAGGTAGATCACCATACTAGGGACAATGGCTTTCTACACTCGTGTAAGTATTCTTTACACTGTTAGTATTCTTTCTGCACCGGAATGTCGTATTCATTGCAATACAGAAGCTTACTATCCACATTCAAGTCTGAGTAGGAGACCCACATACAAGAACAGAGAATGCAATAAATGCATCTTACTGGAAAGTTAACAACCGTCAGAGCGTGGGAATGACAAGTCTTTATAGATGCATATACCGTTTTCAAGCATATCGAAAACGGTATAAGCATCTATACCGAAACGTCGCTATCATAAATGTTACCAGCCCAAACTGGATTTAGTCAGACCAGACAATCCAACGGATAGAACTCAATTATTAGTTATAATGAGAAATTGAATAAATCATAGACATGTATTTATTGTCTAACAGACTATTCACAGCAGTCATTTTCAGAGAAATCCGACTAAAAGGTTATCTAAATTTTTTACCAGCCCATCAAGCTGGCTAGCTGTAAATTCAGAAATTTAGCCTGTCTTGGTCGGTCGGACGGGCCTTCTTTCATACACTGGTAGCTGTTGTCACTATTCATTCTTACCGTTGATCAGAAGCCAAATTGAATACCGCTGTGACAAATCTAAGTATATCGGAAGCTCGGTTGTCACGTTAAGTCTCTCAAACGGTTAAAAAACAGTCGACCAATTAGTCGTTGTGACGTGGGTTCCATGTAGAACAGACAGCTGTAATAAGCATTGTTCTGGAGGTCTTCGTCTTAGTCTCACGTCGAGGGCATATACTGACATGCTTGTAGCTTTGACATCAGCCTTGAAGGTGCACATGTAGATGCTGTTTTGGACTGTACAATTAGACATAAGTGTATCTCCATGGGTAAGTAGGACCTTAGATAATCCCTCTGCACTAATGGCCAGGGATTCATCTTCTTGAAAATTCAATGAAGCATTTTCTGCAACATTCGTAGTCTTAGTCATTAGAAACATCGAGATACACACGAGCGCCTTAATAAGATGCATTGAATTGCTTAATTGTCGGGCGATAATTTCTACCTTTCCAGAATTACATGCACGTATGACTTCAATGTAGACTTTCAGGGAGGCTTCAGTGTACATCTTCTTGTGAGCTCCTCAATCAGGCAGGTATTTTACTGGACTCTCTACTGTTAGATTTTGACGTTAGATTGTCAGACGGTTAGATTTCACTGTGCACAGATACCAAGATGTAAGATATGAGCACCCGAGAGCTACACAATTAGAGTCCGCAGATCACATTAAAAAACTAATTGTGTAGTATGTACATCACATACGCATTTGAATTATAGAAAAATCCATGACAGTAAAACCTTTATATGGAATGGTCTATGTTCCGACACAGCAGAAGCTTGAGAGTAAGCATTTTGCCCATTGCATGACCTTTGTTAGTGGACAGCGAATGGAACCAAAAAACCAAGTATTCAAAGCGCTTGCATTGTTACTTCACGAAGCCGATGCATGCATGGAGATGCGCATCTAATGATCACTTCTAAAATCGCTAAGTACCATACGTTTGTTATCAACAGATAAAGCAATAAATGTACCTTACAAATAGCGAATCGCTGTTTGCCTCACCAAATTAGCCATTCGCTGATAAATCAGTTCGTAAAACGAATGTAAATGACGACAGATATATCGATATATACTGAACACATATTCATGATTGTAGTGACCACAACATTCTGAACACGTTATCGTAAGATTAAATCTGTCTCTAAATACAGAAATAAAGACACCCTCTTATTCAGCTCAAACAAAATACACTTACCTTCAATACACCGATATTTCACAACAGAGAATGCAAGAGCAGCACTCCGGCGGGGAGAAGGATAGCGACACTTTGTCTTTCTGGAGCAAGCTCGGTGTTGCTGAATCTGTGATAACCATGTTCTGTCACATTCGCCGGATTCACGGTGTCGCAGTTAGGGATACCTGTCAACGCACAGTCTGAGTTGTTTGTATAATATGCGTCAAAAATGTCGATCTTCTGGGTGGGGTTGCAGCTGATGTAATGCCGAGTGCAGAACAGACGACCGGCTCCATAGCATGCCTTACTGGTGTATGTTGTACCTACATGAACGACATGACAAATGAATGAAGATTTGCTGTGGAATGAAATGCAGTTTAGATGCAGTGTTTCGGATTATTATGCTCTTGTCCTGTTTGTCCGTAACAAATTATATCTTTCTATATATGCTCATATGCACCACAGATACAGCTCTATGTACAATACATTTCCAAGCTTGAGATTCCGAATGCTGTCTATTAGACTATTTAATGGCGGCCTGATAATCGAAACTGTCAGTAATAATCATCGATTCAGTATTTCGGGCAAATGGTACACAATAACTACCTTCACAGAACTAAGACTCGCTAAGATACATATATGCGTATTAAAATATAACACTCGTTTAATTAAGTTAGATAAATTGATGATAAAAACTTTGCCTTGACTGTTGAACTCATTACAGGATCTATGCGTATATGTTATCCTGAAAAATAGTCATAGTCTTCTTAAGCCAAGTTATATCTTAACACACATTACACTTTGGACTAAAAAAATGCATGGCCTTGCACAATTGCTGCTATTCACGAGAACAGTGACGCTTATTTTGAGGATTTGTTTTGGGTGTAATCTTATCATATCCAAGTTTATTTTACCCAAAGTCGACACGCTTCCATAATTATTTTGAATCTAATGTATTCTATATTGTGATATGGATTTGTGTCAGAGGTAATCATGATAAAACTGTTGAAGTTGTTGTTCGAATTGCAAGAAAAATGCAGGAAGCATTGCATTTTCGAGGGAAATGACTAGCTTTGTTCATTTTAAAAGGACCGAGAACTAGACACTTATCATTTCAATGCACTAAGTGCAGCCTTGAGAGCAGTCAAAGTTCAGAAGTCAGGAAAAGACATCTATTCATTCTGGAACTAGTTCGGCATACCACTAAAATGACCAACGGAGAGGCACATGACTGCTTCAGTGTGATACCTTGTTGTGTGACTTTAGAAACACCGTCCACAGAACGTCCATAAAAACTCCGTTTAGCTGTTTAGACATTTTCAGCAAAACTTTCACATTATAGGCCGTCTTGATAGTGGCAGTCCACCATAAACAACCCCACGTCAAGACAGATTCACCTCCAACACCACAGGCAAATGAGGGCTATCTAACGAGAACAGTTCGACGACATCTACGCCATCCATGTGGTGTCTAAGACACCCAGCCCAAGTCAAAACATCGACGTCGACGTCTCCGGTGGAACAGACTGCACTTGTGATGGAAAGTGTTCTGTTCACCGATGAGGCACGTTTCCCTTTTCACTGAGCTGACGGGACACCTGTTTACAGACGCACTGGTGACCGTTTCATCAAGATAAGTGTTCTCGACTGGGATCGTTTTAGAGGTAAGGTTATTTCGATCTGAAGCGGGACAACAGTTTCAGAAAGGACGCCAATGCTGTGACGTTCCGCGACGAGATTGTACAAATAGCCACTTTACTATTTTTGCAACAGAATGGAGGCGGAGTCTCCACACGCACAACACACGTTCCAACACGATCATATGTTGCTCCGCGGTTTCTATAACAGTAGTAACTTAATCATGTTAATGTTAATGTGTTATCCCTCCCCTAGCAAGATCCCCTAGTGGTTTCAATGACACAGGGATTCCATGCCTGCATCAATGTACAGGATGGACATACTCGTTGTGATTCTGCGAACGTGCTTGTGAATCCATATTTGTATTTTAGCTCATTTGTATATGCTCGGGTTGTATTTCCATCAACACTTCATTTGCGGCTGTAAAAGTGTAAGACTTATTCTGTTTCTTGTTTTGGGTCTCAATACCTTTGGCCTTTTGGGTATAGATCTTAGGTAGCAGTTGACAGATATGCATTGCATGTACTTGCACCAAGTGAAAAGTATTCGCTCCAAATGTCGCTCCCAGTATATCTACGCGAAACGCAAATTAAGGTTACTGTTCCTTTATCTCCTAGAATAGTTGCTATACTTGCAGGTATCTGCATAAAAGTACTTATGCATAAATGCATCAACAACATCCCTGTCTGTTCTTATCTATACACGGAAAGCTCTACTATTTTCGTATGCTCACCATTCGTTCCATATGACCATATACATGTATATCTTATCTATACGAAGTGGCTGAAGAATGCAGCAAATATAGGTGACATATATCAAAACGACCACAGACTTTCCCATGACGTTGACTCTTGACCTCGTTGCATATCACGGAACGTTCTTCCTGGTTAAAGACCGCCTGCACATGAAGGACATGCAATACAGACAACTATGCACAGGTGCCAACTTTATAATGCGAGAAACAGGCTGGTGTGAGGGGTAGCCCGCTTAATGAAAACATATTCCACACAACTTGTTTTCTACTTGTTTGGATGGGACGTTAAAACGATATAAAAGCTATGAAATTGTTAGTACTACTAATCAATCTCTTTTGGAAAAGTCTAGTGGTCAGAACCGCGCTCGTTACACTCGAGACCCGGCTTCGATTCCCCAGAGGTATATTATTATTATGCTAACATTTGCATAGCGGCGATATCAAGCTCAGCTGAGCTGCCCAAAGGCGCTTTGTTTTTCCCTCGATCACTGGATGTTAATCTCAACACGTCGTATTATCAATCTCAACTCCCTTGGTATCATACAACTCTTGCAGCCACTAGGCGCACCGAGTTAGTGTGGCTTTCCCATCCTTACGAGGTACCCATTCACAGCTGGGTTAACTGGGACACATAGTCACACTAGGGGTTGCGACAACACTGAAAGTGTCTGCACACAAAGTTCACTCCAAGGATTGTTACACCGGGTCACAGATGGGCTCGATCCCGTCACCTCAAGCTCGCTGGATCACTAGCCTGGTACCTTAGCCAGTTCGCACACCACGCCCCCGGGTATATAATTGGTATAATTGGACAAACCTGATATTCAGGGAAGAATTTTTTGTGTGAAAAGTATTGAAAATCAAAATGAAAATGTAGTTATGCTCTAGTCTATTAATAGCCATCAAAGTATCTATCTTAAACGTTATCTGTGTGGAATGTATTCAAGTTGCCTACAAGGAAGTTGTGTGGCGTTTGTGAAGGCCATATTGATATATTGATGTCATACTTTGTGAAACACTGACGCCTGACTGATCATCCTCAACGACACAATAATCTGTACAATGATCCGTTGTTACCACCTTAGTACACGACCACATTGCATGGTTGTAACTACTGCACTAACTAAAACTCTTAGAGATCTGATGTTACACGAAATCTTACTGGAAAACACCTTCTGGCTATAGACTACTTTCTGACGGACAGTGGTTAAAAGGATAGGTCATATTGGATGGATATTAACTACAACGCAAACATGCGTGATAACAGATCCCCCCCCAAACTGAAAGCTCTGTATAAATCTTTTTGGTTAATGGGGATTTGGCGGAGGACATCTAGACGTGTGATCATATTCATTTAGCAGGGGAAATTTGTATCACTTACACTCTGTTGATCAACATGTAAAGTCAGGGTGTTGATGCTTTTCAAAATAATAATTGAACCCTACGTATTCCGTCTTTAGTAATTAGTGTGTTTGTGAAAAACCTCGGATAACTCGAGATATTTACGCAGGTCCATTTAGCTTCGACACAACGGTGGTTGACTGCAGATCGGTATATCAGGTGTCTCGGGGTACCATGCTGTCTAGGTTGCTGGATATTGTTGTGCAGAGTTGAGCCATAATGACGTGTGACAACATTTAACTATGATCGAGGGTTGCATGTGTTAATATACCTGTGCGGTGAGTATCACTAATGTGGTAAAAATCTACGGTCTGCAACACTTCGGACTTTAGGCTTCATTTAGCAGGCCCTTAATACAGAGTCCTTCTGACACAAGTGAGAAATCAAATACATCGCCGCTTCACCATTTCCGATAGAAACTCAAAATTCAAATTTCAAGATAATTTTGAAAATATTCTGATTGTCACAACCTGTTTTGAAAATACCCGTGGAGCCGACATAGAATAGCAATTTGTATGGGGTTTCATTTTCCTCAGATAATAAGTTCCGAACACGTGGCAAAATGAAAAACAAAATCTTTTACTTTCATAAATGATGGTAAAGGAAAACTGAAGTTATTGTGACTGAAATAGTGCGACTATCGCTTGGATAGTAAGGAAGTTGTAGTATTATTAAACTTGTTAATATGTAACATGACGGCCGACGTGGATCACTAATTTCTAATAAATTCTATTCTGTACAAACGTCCTTGGAAGAGATATACACAAACCATCACAGACAGTAATCAAGTGGTATTTGATTTTAAATAACAACATAAATGAAATTAATATCATTTGAATTAACGGAGTAAACAGAATGACACCATACATGAAACACTGCATGCACATACGATATTATAGGAGTAATAGTTGTTAAGTGGGAATACAGTCTCTGCTCGTCAAAGGAAAGACATGCAAATTTACAGAAGGGTCACATAGATACAACTGTAGGGATAACATTTGGCTGGATATTACATATTGCAGTTTTCATATCAAAGCGACAATATCGATCTGAGTAATTTACACGGTAAAATGTACACATGTATCTGTTATTCCTATGCACGCCTATGAATAGTTCTATCGAAGTAAAAGCAAAGCAGGTATGGACCTCAAAGATAAAATATGGAAAATAAAGTGCTGAAAGATTCGTGCTGTTTGTTGTTTAGCAAAACGACAGGTATATAACAGCGCGGTATGTTAAAGGTCGAGTGTAGATCAGACAATCCAGTGATTAACTTCATGAGTATTGACCAACGCGATTAGGAT